GACATAGTATGCCTAGAATAAACAAAAGAAATCTTTACTGTGAATATTATTTCTGAAGGTCGTAATATTGACGTGCAACGACCACCAATATCTGACACCGTTAAATTTCTTTAGCATGCATATTATTTTTCATCACAACATTTTAATATTCTGTAGATATAAAAAAAATATCACAAATCCATATATACACCAAATCCTTTTAATTTGATCAAATAGTTTTCGAAATATTCAGAATATTTTCATTTTTCTTGAACAGCCCCCCCCCCCCCCCACACACACACACACATCATATGTAAGAGAACAAATAGCTTGTGTGCTTCACTTTATTGATAATGATAAAGAACTAGTTTAGATAGCACATGCGTAATATTATACAGGCAGATTTGCTGGCTGTTTCTAACTGACAGCCTATTTTTATGTGAATCAATTTCATATTGTAAAATGGAGAATGTAGTTTTCAAAACATTTCTATGCTTAGGAACATTTACTTATGTAAGTCTCATATTGTTGTAATAAAAATCGTCTTTTAAAATAAAATGTGGATTATGGGTGTTAAGTGATGTAAATCGTGGTTATCTGATATTTGTTAAAAAAGAGATGCAGGGTCGCGTCTAAAGCAAAAATTGGTAAAGGCACACTCTTTTCTTGAACTATGCTTTTGACCCCACAAACCCAGACGGTTGTTCTCCTCAACCAATCATATTATCCTTCCTTATTCCTCTTGAAGATTCAGTCCAATTATCCTCATTCTTGGAAACGATTGACTGTGATGGATAGAAAGGTAAAAATCTTATTATAACACCTGTTAATTTTGTAGATTTATTACATTTCCTGACTTCGTTCATACTGTGTTAATTTCATTTTTGTGAGTGTGTGTGCTTATTTGCTATATTGCTATTTAATTTACAAATTTAGAGAATACAGTGAAAGAGAAAATGACAACTCAAAAATAAATTGTAAATAAATTTAAGGCAATTATTTGTAGTTTTAATTAAAATGTCAATGCATCTCATCTATATTATATATTAACACTGTAAAAACAACATTTTGTTACAGTGTATATTAATTAAAAGTAAATACAACAAGTCCCCTGCGTTGCAGTGTTTAAAGCATTTGATCAAGAGTCCGGGCGCAATGAGTTAGTTATAGGAAAGGAAAATTAATGCATTTACGAAGGCTATAAATAATTGTTCTTGCTTCTCTTGAATCACAATAGTTTTTGTTATATTTTTCATGAAAAAAATCATTGTTTCAGTTGTTAATCTAATAAAAAAGAATGCAAAATGAATTTAAAAATGCAAAACATGTTAACCCCTTTTTTCCTCAGAAGTATTTGGAAAGTTTGTAAGCTACATGTTACCTTTGTGTGTCTGTCGACTTAACTTAAAATCTATGATAAGTTTTAAAATCAAACTAAGAGCCTTGGAATAGTACTGCTTGTTGAATTTTACCCATATCCTAAGGGTGATGATTGATTGAATACGGCATGCATTAATCGTAATACAATTCGTATAATCACTATGTGATTTAATAGGCGGATTTGAAAGGCGAGTACAAGGATGTTTTTTCGGCAATATTTTTTAAAAATCCTGTGTATAGGTATAGAGGTTGTCTGTCTCATTTTAAATTTATTTAGTAAAAAGAGATTTAAAGACCTTTTTACGTTTATGACTCTAAATATTTTTTTTAATATCACATTCTTGTCTGTACAACTTGACAATAAATGGTCGTTAGAATTTCAGTTCTCCAGATTTAATATGAAACCTGAGAGGAAATGCGTCAATGTTGTCTGCATTTATGCATTTGGGGCATCCGTATTTACGTTTTAGGATAGGGAGAAATTACATGAAACATCTAAGTTTTTGATTAATTACAGTTTGCAATGCTATTATATTTGATATGCAGAGAACTTTCGTCTCGTATCCTATTTTCGACCGTATTGTATTTTCGACCTATTTTTCACAATCTGCTTCCCGTGCAGGTACTGCACGGTAGAACATAATTTTCGGTTGCTACACTTGAACCTACCTTTGAAGCACAAAGAAAATACCCAAAATAATTAATTCAACGGAATTCCCAAGATGGTTTTAGTCCGTTGTCAGAAATTCTAGACTTTTACTGATGCACAATTTATCTGTTAATTAATCTCAGCCGTAATCGATTAATTACAATGATATTTGATGACATTTTTCGAAAGAAAATTAAGATCTCTGTCAAAGTGGGTGGATCAAACGGATTTTTTCTTCCTTAAATGCGGACACTTTCTTACCGATTTTTACTGAAAAATGCAACGTCATTACATTGATTTTTAGTGGAAATGCACAGATACTGACAGATGGCTCCAACCAACGAATATTGTGTTTGCAACCAAAATATGCAACTTGTTCAATGTTTTTTGAAAGACAGACCATCGTATTTTTACTGTTTGTAATATCCAATGGATATTTATAGCCATTACTGATTAGGTGTTACTACTATATTTAGGTCGAAAACACAAAACGCTAATATTTTGTAAGGAAAACTGCACCCTCTCCACATTATGGCATATAAATAAAATAAACACAAAACTGCAACATGGGTTATATCATTTTATTTATAGACACATATGCTAACATTTTAAACCCATATTTTCTTAGATTCTTTTAAGTTTGGAATAAATTAGTAAATAATAGCTAAATAGGTCGAAAATACAATACGTCAGGATACACATGTAAAAAAAGACCCATATCTTTGTCTCTAGTAAATAAATAATAAGTTTAAATGAAACCGCAAAAAAGTTACGGGTAATCAAAATTTCTAAAGACATGTTTAAATTTTATCATTAATTTTTTTACTTACATGTATGTGTTAAATGATAAAACTTTACACGTCTAAGGTGTTTGCACAAAGCAAACTAATTTTACAGAAGACTTTATATAGATAAGATACGAAAGATGATCCAAAAGTAATGTCACAATTAATATGCATATCTTAATAGTTGGCGTCTAGGTATCAAGTATAATATATACCAAAATATGCAACTATACAAATCTAAATAAACATTGAAATTTTAATATATTAATATTAAATTAATGTCACTTTATAAAATCTGATGTTTAAAACACGAAACAAAAGGGGTGTTGCCGCTTCACAACTAAATGTCACTTTTTAAAGAGTATTTTGTTTTAGAATTAGTATTTCAAAATCATCTAAAAGTGCATAAATGCTTAATTGATTTTAAATGACAAAATTGTCGTTATTTCTCAATCATCAGTTTGAAATTAAATGACGCCATTGCTTAAAAATATTATGAAGTCTGTTTTACTCTGATGCTTTGAACAAAGCAAATGTCGAAAAAGGGAAAAACTCTGCAATGACATGTTAAAAATTTTGATTTCAAAATTGGGAAATTTTATGTAAAATGATACAGTTACTTTTATTTATTAGACTCACAGTGAAAAGAATGTAAATGAGAGTCTTGTTTTAAGATGGTTTCAGCGATTTTAATATCGGAAGTGATGGATCATTGAATAAATAATGCTCAGATGACAGAAACCAAAATCTGAGAGATCAGATCAAACTGAAAGGTTTAAGTGGTGTCTGATATTGTCATTATACATGCATGTATCTGTTATGTAAACAGATATGAAGTGGTTGCTCTATGATACCGTTGACTTCAAAGAATTTCGACAGGGGACTTGATTATTAAAAGAGTGAATGTGTGATGGGAATCAAGAATTCTTATAGAAACTGTTTAAAGAATTTCGACAGAGGTCTTAATTATAAGAATAGTGAGTGAGCACAAAGAATTCTTGAAGAACATAACTTGAACATATTCCTGAATTTCTGATATGTTTTATTAGGAAACCTTTGAATGTATGACGGCACATATCCATTATACAACATAATCTAGATGTACGAATCGCACTTAGTTTAAAATCCAATATTTTTGAAAGAATAAATCATGTTGACTTGAAAGTTTTCAGGTCGAAATTGGAGAAAAATTGCTTTCATCATCTTTAATTTTTTTTAAAGTAGCAACTTAATCGAAGTTGGGACATTACTATTGGATCAACACTCAGATATGCTTACATGTAAGTTTCGTAGCATTCATCTTTTGCATATTTATTAGAGAAACTCGATAAGGTCAGTACTTTATTTAAATTTTATTCAACTAACACGTTTTCTTTACATTTATTTAAAAAAAAATAGACTTCCAAATAATATATTACGATTGGAATGAACTAAAATTAATAAAACTAAAATTAATTAGGGATTTTGCAATAAGGTATGAGATCAAACGAGGAGGAATAACTTATATGTAACTGGGTATAAATGGATGACTAAAGCGGTTATGATAGGCATAAATGGGTTTTATTTTGTCATCATATAATTACATTCTGACTTTTATGTTATTTTCTTCCTGTTTCAGTCTTTCATAATATATATTATTTATATATACTATCGCTGACTTTTATTTTTTTACAGATCATACTAACAAAACAGGTTTGTTCACACTGCAAATCCCTGTTTCACGAGAAGGATTAGTTTCAAAATTAATAGAAAACAGTCATAACAAAATTCTTAATTGAATTTATATAGAAACTTTTTGAAGTAGGAATTTTATATTGCATAATTGTATAGCTTGAATTCTAAGGGACTGTTTACATTTTTCATGTTATGACAAGTTATGTTGATGAACTCATCATCATTTTACTTGAATGATCTCTACCTTAAAAACAAATCCCATTTTCAGACAATCTTACCATTTTTTTTTATAATTGTCGATCACGCATTCGAATTTCTGGATTTTTTTCTTCATCAGTTTCTTCAGTAGACAAACTTGCCAATCAAATTTATAATATATCGAACCTAGTATGTCCTCTACCGATTTCGGAGATTTGGTGAATTCATGTCCTTTAAGCAAAGAGGAAACAGCAGGGGCAGCTGCTAGATTGAAATGTGGTGAAGATGAGAACGGACGGAGTCCGTATGTCTGTGTTCCAATTCAAAACCTAACGGCCTTAGTAGAGTTCTGTTTTACGAAAACAGTAGTTGCCTTCTATGAAATAGGTAAAGTATATATTGATGACTGAAGCCTCTTGTAAATTAAATCATTGATCTTTTTTTCCCATGTATCTCTTATTCAAAATTAGATACAAAGAAGATATTTTATTGAATAATTTCTTTAACACATAGGTCATTGTCTAAGAGCTGTTGGAGATGGACATCTGGACCAGATCAGTTGTGAAAACTTTACAGAAGGATGTCCAGCAGAACATTTTAGAAGTACAGACCTCTATAAATGTAATATATATATATATATATATATATATATATATATATATATATATATATATATATATATATATATATATATATATATATATATATATAATATATATATATATATATATATATATATATATATATATATATATATATATATATATATATATATATATATATATATATATATATATATATATATATATATATATATATTTATTCTTGGCTCATATGATTGAAATGTTATTTTTTCTCGTTTTTCTCTTTATTTGAAAATATCAATTTTATAAACATAATGGACTTCCCTGTTTAGATCCAGCTTGTCATCATCTAAACACAGAAAAGGGCTGTTTTGTTGCTGATCCATCTTGTTATGCGTAAGTTTTGTACTAAATGCATTTGATTTACCGTTATCAAATGGTTTTATGTTATTTTTGTCATTTTAAAACAGTTCCTGCGTAATATGTTAGTTCTCATCATAAATTTTGTAACAGTTTCTTATTATTTCTTAAAATAATTCTTTTAATTATATTTTAGCACTAAAAATGTCACAACAGGGATAATATCTACACCTATCCTGGGAATTTTGAATATTAGTACAGATCATACGAATTATTCAGAATCCAACAATACAGCTGTTTATGCTGAACTTGGATCCATAGGAGCAGTCATTGGTGTAATCACAGCTCTTCTGGTGTTCTTGGGAATAATAATCATACGGTGTATTTTTAAGAGAGGTGCACTAAGACAATACATACATTTGCATTAGCTTTGAAATATTTATCAATGTCCATTTTTAAAGAGATTCCTTAATAAAAAATATAACCAGGAAAGATAGATTAGATTTTGAAGTTTAATTAGTACTATTTGTCTGTAAACGAAGACATCTTTAAAGAAATAGGAGAATGAACGACGAAGACAGTTTTAAAGTAGTAGGAACCAAACTCGTGAAAGAATTTGTACTGATATTTAAGTGAACTTATGATTAATACTTCATTTTACACAAAAACTTTTATGAACTTTTAAAATTAAGGTTCGGTCGCCGTCCAACAACTCTTCAATAAGATGTTCATGTTCAAAATAACACCTTTTTTTAAATAAACAAATTGCCAACATTTACGTGAGTTAACACAAAGTATGCTTTTATAAAATTATATTTAAAAAAAAGATTATACCAAAAGCTTATTTTAAAGGAATCCTGATAACGGGGGATAAGAAGTCCATTGAAAACAGCGCATTGGCTGGAAAAAGCACAAATAAGTTAATTTTGTAAAGTGTACATTGGGAAAAGGTTAATTTTTAAACTACTTGAGAATGCTTACATATTCCACATAGTTAAACAAATAGTTCTGTTGTTCTTATACAGAAACTTCTAAAAGATTTTTGAGTCACTTTAATCACTCAAGTCACCTATTGCTATCCGTTTTTGTCCAACGGCCTTCGTTGTGCGAGATTTGTCCTGCGTTGTGCGTTTACATTCTCCGCTTCTTCTCTGAAACCACTAAACCAGTTTTAAACAATTTTTGCATAAAGCGTCAATGGATGTACATGTAGGGGAACAAAAATTGCTCCCACTTGGCCTGAGGAGTAGGGCTAAAACAACTAAAATAAAATTAATGCTAACCTTTAAAAAGCTTGTTCTCCACACCTGGACATCAGTTTAGCAGTCATACTGTTTGTAAGATTGTAAAAAGAAATGATGCCTCTACCAAAATGGTGAACCTCATGGTCCCAAGGTCAGGGGACTCTGCTGTTAAGGCGGGGCTATATAGGTAATAAAGTGAAAAAGCATTATTTCTTTTCAAATCTCTATCTTTGCTTCTAATTATTAAACAAGCTAAGTCGATACATAGTTTTAATAACAGTTTCTCTTCGAAAATTTTGAATTACATGCTCCCTGGGCTAGGGGTTTTGATTTTGGGCTCTGTTAATTTTATAACGAATATACATTAATTCATTGCAAAACAATCTCCTCTGCTCCTGGGTATTAAACAAACTACAAATACGCTTTAATTCGCTTTTTGTTGGGAGTGAGGATCTAAGGTTTCAAGTAATTTCCTTTTGTTTGATGGCATTTTAAAATCCATGTTTGACAAATGTAATCACTAAAGACCGAACATTTGATCTTAAAACTGCTTTCTTTAGTTTTTTTTCTTTAAATATGCAATGTCTTTTTTCCTGTTATTCTGAAAATTAATTTTTCCCTTTCTTTCTCTTTTCAACCTGGTGTTATTCATTTTGTATGTTAAATTTACATTCATAGAAACCAGTTTTATTTAAAAGAAATTGTAATGCAAGAAAATTGTTCGAATATCATACGTCGCAGATTATAATCATGTAGTTTAAATTCATGGATGCTAATTTTTTTCAGCTCACACTAGAAAAAGGAGGACAAAACATCAATATTCAATGTAAGTTTTTCCTTGTATATCTACAATATTTCTGGCAACACTTAGTCTAGCAGGTTTATTGTATCTTTGCTGTTGTAAATCTCTCAGAACATGTATAAAACGTAAAGTGAATCTATTCTTAATTCCAGCATGCATATATTTCAAATTAAAGACTACATCTTGTATTTCCTACAAATATACATTGACTATTGGTTCCAAACTTTCTAATAGCCAAAAAAAAAAAAAACAAACAAACAAACAACCAAACAAACAAACTGGATATTGAATATCTTAAACATAATCCTCCATCGTGTTCATGTTCGTCTTCACCCTATAACTATTGTCCTGCTGGACACGTTATTATAGATGACGTAAATAAAGTTAGTATTGAGGACTCTATTTCACTTATTTTAAAAGGCGCAAAATATAGGAAATACTGATCCTTCAACTAGCGTCTGAATTTTATAAATATTATGGATTCTGTTGAAGATTACGCCAGTCGATGGGACAGCTATGAACAAAAGACGTTAACATTTTGTCAGAATGGATTAAATGTATGAGATCTATGTTATAATCGCGTAACAAAAGACTGAGGGATTATATGAAAACCAGATATTCTAATGTATTTGATAATCCAAAAGTGGACAAAAATAGTTAGATTACATTTTTAAATTTTGCAAAACTTTTACAGAGTATATGCTCCCTGCTTTCAAAAACATTAATACACCGCGGGGGTTGAGGAGAGGAGGCAATTATTCATCATATGAATTTCTAGAACAATTTTTTTTTTGGGGGGGGGGATGGTAAGCTCATGTACTAGTATGTAGAACCTAAGCAGTATTTAAATCGTAAAAATCTTCTCACACATTTCTTGAAAATGAGTTCCGAACAATAGATAAAGTACTGTTCCACTGAGTCAACTGTGTCAAATGATGTGTTGAAACATTGTTATACGATATTTGGAGTGACGATTCTCAAAATTCTTTTTAAATTGCAAAATTAGTATTTTTGGTTGAGACTAAACTTGAACAAATTGTATTTAAAGATTTCATTTTGATTCTTTTCTTAGTTGAGAATAATCAAAATTCTACTTTTAAAAAAGTCGATACTTATTGTTTTGCAGAACATTGCCGATATGATTTTATCAGCACTGACAAAATAGGGGAAATCCTTCTGAAAGTCTTTAATCCACTTCGATTCTTCTATAAATCGTGAGCCACAATCTGTTTTCCTAATTTGAAGGATATAAAAGAATTAAAAGGATGACATAAAAAATATGTTCGAGCAGGTAGAGCTGGTAGTCATAAAGTATAGTCTTTTGTGTAAGGCGCATTATTATTACTGTTTTTTAAAAAAGGTATTAGTTTGACATGCAATACTACGTTTGTAAATACTATTAATACTGACATTTCCCTTCCAACGATGAAATTCTTCGAAATCAGATTTCAGTGTTTACATTCTTTTAACAATCCAGTAAATCAAGGTGAGTTGGATCTTCTCCACTCACATCTCTCCTGGATTCCTAAACTTCATAAAAATTCTCACAGACAAAGATAAATTACTAGGTCCAGAATTCATGAGTTTTTAAATTACTGTACAAGTACTTTTTTCCGCGTGATATTAATTATCGCTATGTACGCGGTCAAAAATTTTTCCGCCGAAATTTGTTCAAGCGAAAATGATATAAATGTAAAGCATATAGCGACATCTTAAAAAAACTGCGTACTTTCTTACCCGCAGATTAAACGGAAATAGAGATTCCGCGGAATTATGACCCCATGGAAAAAAAGTACGTCTACAGTATTTGGTATGGAAACCTCGAAAAAATCCATTACTTTTAATTGCCTAACGTTATAGTACAGTATACTTTTATCATACAAGTAACAAATTTCAAGAAGCTTTGTTGCCAGAGCTTCTTAGATTCATAATATAATAATTATTATGAATGGGTCTCCATATGTTTAAAAAATAGATCCCCTGCAGAGACATCTGACGAAGATACCAGTGGCAGCTGTCATCAAAGTGAAGTGCCTAGTGGAAGAAATACTTTTACCAACCTCTATAAGGAAGAACAGAGCAACCAGAGATCAACTGAAATACGACCTCTGTTACCCCCTCCATCCGACCTGTATCAGGGAGCACAGTAGGTCAATGTTAATTGAACTAATTTTAATGATAATTATGTATTTACTAGGATACATAGTGTTTGGCTTATCATTTACCACATACATATTGTGTACTCTGTTATATATCATAACCTTTCACCATCAAAAGAAAAACAGAAGACATTGGTGCTTTTGTTCAACTTCTTTCTTTTCATAAGGATTTCTATCTTCTTGGGGTTTCATATTTATTCTTAATGAATGATACATGTACATATAAAAATCAATTCACACTTTGATTCCATTAGTTGTTCTACAAAATAGTTTTCTTTTCAATCTAAAACATGATATATGTTATATATTATAACATTTTATATGTGACGTTTGGTTAAAGGCACTTATTTGTCTGCCGTGTATCAAGTATTAGGATGGGATTCTGAATATGTTCAATCATGCTATTTTTGATTGATTGATTGATTGAATGATTGTATGTTGTTTAATGTCCCTCTCCATGATTTCTTACTGATATGAAGACGCCACCACTTGCCGGTGAAGAGCTTCAAATTTTGTCCTATACTCTGCATTTAGCACCATTGAGCAGTGAGGAATCTTTTTCGTGCCAACACTGACTGCGACACGGGACCTCAGTTTATACGGTCTCATTATAAGGACCGGTCCCCTCTTTCCAAAGTGCAATTCGAAACTGCGAAGTAATTAAGGATCTACTCCTTACTTCGCGACGCTAGAGCAGACCCTCTAACCACTGCGCCACACGGGCACTATTGATGAAACTAATCGATAAGAAAATTATGGAACATAGCCATCATTGCATATTACATATAATATACCCTCAAAGTATTAATTACTTTAATCGAACACAGCAAC